CTTTTCTTTTCTTTTTTCTTTTCTTTTCTTTTCTTTTCTTTTCTTTTCTTTTCTTCTTTCTATTGGATTTCCCTTTTACATTTCAACTTTTGAACTTTTATTTAATTAAAACAAATAAGCTTAATTTTTTTTGTACTTAGGAGTCTCCTGATTTCAAGGCTAAGTGACCCACTTAGAAGACCAGTGCCATATAGGATCCAAAGCCACAGCTGGGGTGACAATCTCAGTCTTCCTAAAGTACAGCGTCCAAGTGGATTTGTATTTTGTGACATGGCAATGGCACGTCAAAACATAACGCTCTGTGCAGTTTCTTTTTGCTACCAACAATGCCAGATGTTGGCCTCTGATGTATAAACGTTCAGAGGCCAGACCAAGAGGAAATACTTTTACCATTACTGAGAAAAAAAAATATTATTATGATCCTAGACCCACTTGCCAGAACAAAAATCAATGTGATTTGTTTGGGGGTAAGCCTGCGCAGAATTAGCTAGATGTGAATTTGCAAAATTGAAGCCAGGAGAGAATGGGAATAAATTGAAAAGGAATCACTGCACAAACTTTTTCTGAAAAATGTTAAGGGCATCTGTGCAGAATTAGGTAAGAGATCCATCTAGATCAGCACCCTGAATGGGGTCACACATAAGGCTAAGACATGGTTTATTTAGAATGGTTTACTGAACAAACTATGGCTGGATTCTTGGGACATGCAAACCCCAAAATGAACCACATTAATGCTCAGGGTTCTGTTCTCAATTAGAGAACTTGCAGCTTCTCCTGTAGTTATTCTCAAAATCTAATATGTTGGTTTTACTTAGCTTGCAGCACCCAGGCAATGAACTGCCAATCCTTTCTTAAAATCCTTAGTTATCATCATGCCAAATCATTGGGGAGGATTTCCCAGGTGATTTTTTTTTTTTTTGCCCCATCTGTTGCATGTTCTTTTCTGAACCACCAATAACCAGACTGACCCAGACTCAATAGACAAAGCACTGGAAATCTGAACAATCGATTGGGTTTTTGAATCTCCCCAGTGGCTGGAGGAAGACTTTTAATTTTACACAATTAAAGAAAGGAAGTTGAAGACTAGTGTACAAATAAATATTAATAATAAAAATATTTTCTATTTTAACTCAAGCTCAAATTAACCTGCTTCACGCATGTTATGCAAAGATCTAGCTCTCTGGAAAAGGCTCTAATACTGGGAAAGGTGGAAAGAAAGAGAAGAAGAGGAGGACCAGCATCAAGGTGGATGGATTCAGTTATAGAGGCAATGGGTTCACCATTGCGAGACCTGAAAGACCTGGTTAGGATAGATTGTCATGAAGAAAGTCTATCTATGTGGTTGCTAGGAGTCGAAAAAGACTTGATGGCAAATAATCAATCAATGTTAACTATTTTCTATAAACTCTTTATCTACACTATTTTCTTAAAAGTCTAATTTCACTATATTCTCATGTCTTTCTATGCCGTATCTCTAATGTATTGGTTTAGGGCTGATTTCTCTATTTCTGTAGTCTTAATCCGTGTATATCTCTGTGGTCACTTTCTCTGGAGCTATGAATCTTTTCCTACAGAGCTCAATCTGTCTTTTTATCTTTTTTTAGTGTCTGTTTTCTGTTTCTTTTCCATCCAAGTCTGTGTCTGTCTGTCTGTCTCTCTATCATATTCTATAGCTGTCCATCTCACACAAAGTGACTCTGGGTGGCATACAACAATTTTTCTTTGTTTTCTCATCTTATTTGTTCCTGGCTGGGGTTCTTGATTCTTCTTCTCTTCTTCCTAATCTTCACTCCCTCTGAGAGTTATGGCAAGAGGAACTTTTCCCTCACGTCAGTCTGAGGGAAGGGAAAAAACGCCTCTCTCTCCCCCCAGTTTTCTCAGCTGCTGCCCCCTTTCCATTGCCTCTCCTCATCAGGGCAGTCTATCTCTTAATTTGCTTCTTTATTTGACTCCTGGGGTTTGGCTCTCTTTATTCAGCTTCCTCCTCACGAGGCCTGTGGTGGCAGAGTTCCCAGGCAGCCATCTTGTCTCTCCTCCTGCTTGCCTCCTGCCCAACGCTGCTGTTTGATTGGCCGCTGCTGTTTGATTGGCAGCCGGGTCGTCTTGACGATGGGGGAGGACCAAGAAGGGAGGGGAAGCAGGTGTACAGGTGCTTCTCACCTGCTCAGGCAGGTGGTCCTTCCACACCATCCCCAGCCTGAGAGAGGAAATTCCAGAGCTTCAGCATCTGTGGAAGATGGCAGTCCATGAGGAGGGACCCTTCCAGGGAACGGATTCCATCGTCCAACTGTGCTTGCTCTTCATCGGACACTTTTTCTATTCTACAGGCCAAAGATGGCCTCCTTTGACATCAAGAGAGATGAAATACATGTCTCTCATTGTTCCCAACCATTTTTCTCCTCCATTATTCTTCCTTTTTCTTTAGGCACAGCACTGGAAGACATCATGGGGCCGCTTGCCTGGCTTGGTCATCTAGAGTTTCTCAACCTTAGCAACTTTAAGAAGGGTGGACTTCAGCTCCCAGAATTCCCCAGCCATGTTGTGTGGACTTCAACTCCCAGAATTCCCTAGCCAGGACATGTGGACTTCAACTCAATTCAAAGATGTGTGGAATTTAACTTCTTAAAGTTGCTAAGGTTGAGGAATACTGATCTAGAGCAGCAGGTCTTAAACTGGGGGTAATTACCCCCGAGTAGGTAATCTGGGCACATCCAGGGGGTAATGAAGCCACTTGTAATTGCTTGCTTGTGAGTCAAGGATCCAGTTTGCTGCTGCCCAGGCATTTGTGTAAAACAACAAGGTTGCTTTTATTTATTTATTTATTTATTTATTTATTTATTTATTTATTTATTTGTGGGGGTAGGGCATCATTTGAGATCAGGAAAAGGGGTAATTGGGTCAACCAGCATAATGGTATGTGGGAATGACCTTGGGAGACAGGGAGAAGAGAGGCAGCCAGGGGAATGGTCAGATAAAAGTCAACTTAGTCCACAGCAGGAATGTGGGTGCGGCAAGTGGCTCAGAAGGGACCCTCCCTAGTTTCTCGGGGTGTAAAGGAGATGGGGGGAGAGATGCAATTTCAGACTTGCAAGATTGATGTTAGCCTTGCAAGATAAACCAGACAGGAAGCACGGCCAGATGACCTAATTCTACTTTATTGTAAGGTTACGTTGACAGTGTCATGCAAGTCTGAAAGTACAATCCTCCCCTTGTCTCCTTTACAGCCCAAGAAATTAGGGAGGGTCCCTTCTGAGCCGCTTGCCCTGCCCACTATCCAGCTGCGGGCTAAAGCTGCCTTTTGTCTGACCCATCCCTTGGCTGCGTTCTTCTCCCTGTCTCCCAAGGTCATTCCCACATACCATTACAACCAGTTTAAAAACCACAGTTCTAGAGAGAGTCTGTCCCAGACCCCCCTCCATGTGGGGCTGGTGACTGGTTTTCTCAGTGGCAGTCCCCATTTTATGGATCACTCTTCCCTAAAAGTCTGGATGGACCCTAGTTTACACACCTATTGTTTTCAGGAAATGCAATATCTGATGGTGCTTTCATCAGCACTCATCCAGTCATGATGGCAGCTGAAATCCCCCCTGGTTGCACCATTCCTCATGAAACTCACCCAAACAGTATTTGATTCAGTATTTCATGCTTATAAAAATCCCAGTTCTGGATATAATTTACATAGTGCTAACAGAGATTAGACTAACCCTTAGAAGCAGTTCTCCATAGGGGCCTTTTAGCAGGGAAAAACCCATTCTATTCAGCTGGTATTTAGTGATGCTGGGAACTGGATTTAGGATTTAGCATCCAAGGAAAATGTTTGATGATTGAGTTGTAGCCTTTCCTCAAATGTGCATTAACTTGGAGGCTCATTGTGACTTTCCCTTTATTTCCACAACAACCTGGTAAGGTAGGTTAGGCTGAGCAGAACATCTTACAAATTTAAAATCCAGCCAGGATTTTAGAATCACCATTCCTTGGTTCTAATCTATTGCTTTTATCTAATAAATCATATTGAGTACTGATGGGGAAAACAGCAAATAAAGTAATTAATTATCTTCTTCCAATGTGCATTTGTTTAGCGGTGGAAAGGAAACCAAGAGATCAGTGACTCATTTGAAAGATTTGGGGGAAAAAACAATTATCTCCTCAAACTTGGGAAATATAATTAAAAATTATCATTTTGAAGCAGAAGGAAATTGAGCATTTAGCGAATCGCTTATCTCCTGAAAAGGCTGCAACTCTGTTATGCATGTATCGATGTACCCAATGATCGTGAAACAAAATCAGAGAAAGACTAACCCTCCTCCCCCAACATTCACCACAAATGGCTTAATATTTATAAAGGCAGCCAGGCAACTGTTCATAAATGATAGGCACAGCAACGGTTTTTTGTTGAATATTTCAGCTGGAATATTCCCTCCACTTTGGAGGGATGTGAATGGGTACAAGGGGATCCACGGGGGCTGTCAAAAAGGTGAGCGTGACCAGGCGATCAAAGCTCTACCCGTTTACATGCAGGCAAAGTGTGCAATGGACATTAAAAGGTGGTGGGGCTTCAATCATCTGGTTGTGCCCATCATTCTATCACTGACACCCCCTGCAGATGATCCTCAAGAGGAACCTGAATGCGACTAACCTTACGAATGAATGAATACCCATGGAATTTTGCAGGCCAAAAAAACCTAAAAACTGTGCCACCCATTTTGCTACCAAATTTTGGCAGGGTAAAGTTATTCCGCCCCCATAGTCATTCGATCCTATCTTGATTGGCAAATAGTCTTTCAGTGCAGAGAGGAGGAGTTTTGCAAATGGGCACTTTCAAAGAGCTGGCCGGCAGCACTGACTGGCAACATATCATCTTCCTCCTGATCTTAGCTTGTGTGAGCAGAACAACCAAGGTTAGCAGGGATGCTGACTGCTCCATCCTGTCCTATCCAGGGATGTGAATAGCAGTAGAGGTTTTAAGTAATTATGTCTTCCTTATTTAAATTAAATTAAATAAACCACAATCACTGTGGTACATATAACAACCCATGCACAAGCCACATTGTAGCTAAAGTTAGAGAAGTCTACCTGTTTGGGGCAATGTAACGTTGCATTAATTTGAGCAATTAATTTAAATTTAACCTTATATTAATTTTCAACCCACCAGGAAAGAAAGTTTGTGAGCAATTTTTAAAAAGAAAATGATGCAGGGTAAGCATCTTTAACAAGGGACCGCTTAACTCCAGTTGTCTCTGCCTGTCTGGTACAGTCCAGCAGGGTGGGCACGCTCCGGGTCCCGTCAATTAAAGAATGTCATCTTGTGGGACCAGGAAGCACACCTACTCTGCTGCAATCCCTACCCTTCGAATGATCTCCCCATGAGATTTGTGTGGCTCCCACCCTGATGTTATTTGGGAAGCTACTGATGGCAGGGTCCTTCTCCCAGACCTTGGGAACAGTTTGACCATGGAGGCCCTTTTTGTCTGTTTTGTTTGTTTTGATTTGACTTGTTTTGGTCTTGTTTTAAATATTTTGCTCTTCTGGTCAGTTGTATCTTTTATGTGTGTGTGGATGGATAGATAGATGGTGGATGGATGGATGGATGGATGGATGGATGGAATGATGGATGGACGGATGGATAGATATATAGATAGAGGGTGGGTGGATGAATGGGTGGATAGAGAGAGAGAGACAGACAGATAGAGGTTGGGTAGCTGGATGGATGGATGGATGAATGGATGGAGAGAGAGAGAGAGAGAGAAAGGTTGGCTGGATTGATGAATGGGTGGATAGATAAATAGATAGATAGATAGATAGACAGACAGACAGACAGAGGTTGGGTGGCTGGATGGATGAGTGGATGGATGGATAGATGGATGGATAGATAGATGGATGATGGATAGATAGATAGATAGATAGATAGATAGATAGATAGATATTGGGTGGCTTTGTGGATGGATGGACAGATGGATGGATGGTGGACAGATAGATAGATTCCTAGCTGTAAGCTGTCCAGAGTCATTTGAGAGTAGGGTGGCCCATAAATTAAATAAGCAACCAAGCTAACGAAAAGGTAGGAGGCTCGGAGAGCAGTAGTAAGATATGAGCATCATCAAAAAGAGGAATTCTTATTTGTTAAGCAAATTAGATCTTGAAGTAAAAAAATATTGCTACAATATAATGAAATAGGCACTCAAGGACTGGACATTTTAGAGGCTAATAAAATCTCCGCACAGCTTTTATTTTTAAAGCAAAAAGGCTGTGAATTTGGCATCAAGAAATCAGGAAACAGACTGAAAAAAGATACCTTAAAAGAATGTGAAATTCTAAAGGCAATATTAATGCTGAATTGACGCCAGTTGTAGGAGTTACATATGTCCAATAATCCAAGATCAGAGGAAGTTAATAACCATGTAGCATAACTGAAATAGCTGGAATTGTTGACAGAGGATACCCAGTTTTTGAATGCATCTTTTAGCAAATAATTGAATTTTTTGAAGTTTGAAAAATGGGAAATCATCAGATGCAGATGGACTGTCTAGAGAATTCTATAGAAAGATATTTTAATCCCAGTGTTCTCAATCTATCCTGGCAAACTTCTCTACGTTTACACTTATTTGCAAGCCAGGAACACACAAGAGAATGCTTTATACAGACCTATTTCATTACTTAATGAAGACTATAAATTCTATACTAAACTATTTGCTCATCATCTTAAATTAATTTTAGGCTAAACTATACCTCTAGACCAGTCCAGATGTATTCCAAACAAAACGACATCGCTACCTCGGTTAGATAGCTATTAAATATATTTTTGTAAACATAATTCAGTTCCTCTATTCGTATGATTTCTAGATACAGTGAAAATCTTTGACTATGTGGAAGGATTTTTTTCTGGAAAAAACACTGCAATAATAAAAAGGACAAATAAAAAGTAATAATTATGATTCTTTCAGATTTTATCTTCAGGATATGTCAGATTGTATAGAAAATTTAATATGCCTGATATAGGAGTGTTTAATGTAGAAGCTATTGCATGTCATATATTTAAAGATATATTTATATATGAAAAAATAAGTACCACTTCCTTATTTAGGCATCTCAGCTGTGCGTTCCTAAAAGGGGAAACGGGAAAATGAGAAGAGAACAAAGAGAAAAGATATTCTTGGGCATCAGGAGCTATCCAGAAGGCCAGCAGAAACATCTGGGGGACTGCATTTGGCCTCCCTCGCCAGCTGCCAAACACACATTTTCAAGGCTTTCAAAAGCCCAGTGCTGTAATCTTTACACAACAGCTGCGCAGGGTCGGTTAGCAAGACCAGCCTTCTGGAGTGCTCACCTGCTCCTTTGGTCACGACCTGTTTCGGCTTGCTCCGGGCCCCGTCTCCTTTCATGGTGTAGGCAGCGACTGTGACGGAGTAGGTGGTCTCTGGCTGCAGCCCAGAGATGATCATTTCCTGAGGAATTAAAACAAAGACTTGAAACAAAAAAGCCCTCTCCACTTCCTTCCTTCCTTCCTTCCTTCCTTCCTTCCTTCCTTCCTTCCTTCCTTCCTTCCTTCCTTCCTTCCTTCCTTCCTTCCTTCCT